CCCCCGCCCAGCCGGGGAGCCGCGGCTGCCACCCAACTCCGGCCGTGCGGGAGGCAGGGGGCACGGAGGGCTGGCACCCGGGCGGGAAGAGGCGCGTTGCCGGCCAGGGCCAGGGGAATGCCCAGCGCGCGACTCCGGGATGGGAAGGGCTGCTGCTCCTGGGGGGTCACTTACTCTAACTGAGGGGGCGGCAGGGTAGGGAAGAGGAGGGGGAGGTGCCAGGCATGAGTGCTGGACTTTGCAAATAGAGTGGGGGCGCCTCCCCTGCTGTGGGCTGGTGGGGGGGCAGGTGCTGGCCAATACCGGATAATCCCTCCTTCCCTTTACGCCCCCCAAGCTGCAGAGGGGTCGTGCGTTCTCCAGGGCAGAGGAGGAGACAGGGGTGAGGGGCACCTGGGGTGACTTTGCAAGACTTTGCCCAGGGGAAGGGGTGGGTGGGGAGCCCCTCCAGCCGGCTCTTGTGCCCGGATACCGGCGCGTAGGTGCTGCGGGCAGAGGTAGGCAGTGTTCGCTTAGGCACAGGGTGTCAAAGGGTGCCCCTGGGTGGGAAAAGGAAGGCAAGAGGTTTTTGAATGGGGGAGCGGCGCCCCCCTTTACATTTGTGCCTGGGACGTTTATCTGAAGTGCGCTGCTCCAGAAGCGGCAAGTGGCGCTCTTCATTCCCTCTCCCAACCCCCAGCCTCCCCGGGCACAGGGCTGGCAACGTAGGGCACAGAGAGCCGGAGCGCCGGCTCAGAGCTGCTCGCTCGGCTGTCGACCGGAACCTGGCTAGGGCCGGGGAAAAGTTCGAGGGAGTTGCCGCTGCAGTTGTGTGCACTGGGAGAGAAGTTGCGCCGGGGGAGTTGGGACACTGGGCCAGCGGGTGGGTTGGAGCGGTGCGCTCTCGGGGAGCTGTGCAGCGGTTGGAGAGGGTCGGTGGGCTGTGTCTCAGGATGAGCTGAGGGTAACTTCGGAGCTCAGCAAGTGCGGAGGGAGAAACCTGGACTCCAAGGGCGCAAGGCTGAAATAGGCACCTGGTGGAGGACAGAGCAAAGTGTAGCTTGTTGGGGCACAGTGGACACCAAAGGGGAGAGAGCTGGGCCATCGGATCACTTGGGGTCGGACTTCATAGCAAAGGCGCGCGTGGTGGTTGGCAGACGAGTATCGGGGAGCGGGACTCCAGCGAGCGCGCGGGAATGAGAGGTCTGGCCAGACCTGCTCCTAGGGCAGGGGGCCGAGTCGTGCGCCCGGGGTGAGCCGGTCGGGCGGAGCGGCGGGCGGTTTATTTTTACTCGGTGGCATTTGCAGAATGTGCAGCTGATGGCCGTCGGCCGCCAGGAAGTTTTACTTTCTGTTCTTTCACTCTCTTTTCGAAGCCAGCGCGGCCGGGAGCTGGCGGGCTGGGGAGCTGGGCCTGGGAGGGGAGGGGAGGGGGCGGCTGCCGGGGTGGCTAGGTGCGGGCAGGGGCGCGGTGGAGCCGCCGGCTGGGGCTAGCCCGGCGCGGGCTGGCGGGCACTTGCTGGGCCGCTGCGGAGCGTTTGGGCGAATGTCTGTCCCCAGCGCTGGAAGCTCCTCCGCGAGGGGAACAGGTGTATGCCCCGTCAATCACTGCGGGAGGGACACTTCGGGGGCGTAGATTAAGATAATAATAATAGATTTTTCTTTAGGGGGTGGGCGCAGATTCTTTTTCCAACTCAGCCCCTACCCGGGTCCGGAGTTGGGGGAGGAGTAGAGTGCAGAGGAAAGCTGGGGGCTGGTTCTGCCTTCACACAAGTTTCTCCCGACCCAGCTTTAGCTCGGGAAGCAGGCCCTGGGTGCGGTGAGGAACTCCTTCCAAGCAGGCTGGGGAGGGTGCGGGTGCGTGTGTGTGTGTGTGTGTGTGTGTGTGTGTGTGTGATTTGCGCACCCAGGAAGCAGCAATAACACCCTTGCTCCGAGCCTGGAGCTCCCTCAAACCCGGCTGGATCACTGGGTGACTCGGGGTGGGGTGTGCCTCTTAGTCGGAGTAGAGTCTGGGGGTGCGGCCCTCACGGTGTGTGGTTGCCCCGCCAACACCCTGTACAATTATAGAGGTGGGGGGCAGCGAGGGCAGAAAGGCCGGAGTAGTCGCTGGGCAAAGTTGGTAAATTTAGGACATTTCTAAGCTGGTACAAGCTCTCAGTGAGAGCGCGCGAGGGGACTGGAAAATAGATTGCGGGCGGTCCTAAAGGGAGCTGTCCGGGCTGAGCAGGAGCAGCTGCGCCGGGCGTGGAGAGGGGGGTAGTTGGTCCCCCGGGGCTGCGCCCGGGCTGCGCTCCACGTGCCCGGAGGGGGCGCTGGGCCGTTCGGCGCCGGAGCGCAAAGCGCCGGGTTTGCGCCCTGGTGGCGATGAGACTGTGCGTGCGTCCCGGGCCGTCGTCGCGTCCTGCACCAATCTCGCGCAACTCGCGTTGCTTCTCTGGACCCCCGGCCGCTTTCCTACGTCCGAAACTTGGGCTTTTATAGTTTGCCCCTCACTGGAACTCTCGGACCTTCTCCAGGGCATGGTAGTGGACTCCTGCCTTCCCGGCAGCAGTCCCTGTGTCTCACCCTGGAATCCCGCGAACTGGCAAGATTGCTCCCCCACCCCACCCCGTCTTGTTAGCCACCTTAGAGGCGGTTAACGAGAGTTTATGGGGAATATTGTTGAACTTCAGTAATCAGGTTTCCAGCGATCTTATGCCTCCTGTTTAATTTATTAGACTAGTTATTTATTCTGTTGATGATAATCTGTTGCTGGTTTCTATGGAGATGTTAAACTGATCTCTTTCAGAAATCAAACTCCATATGCACTAAAACGTTTAAAGGGGCAGTGTCTCCCTCCTTTCTTCCCCCTTGCCTTTTGTTTGTTTGTTTGTTTTTTAGCCTTTGCACCCTGCCTAGACTTCGTGTCTTGTTCTGAGTCCCGGCGCATTTTATTTCCTTCTTACGAGGGAGAGGAGCCTGGGAGACTCACGCTTTGTGGCAAGTACAGCTTATTATGGCTAGAAGAAAGCGAAGGCTTTGATCCCTAAGTTGCATCATCATTTAAAACAGATCATTTCACCACCACCCTCTTCCCCCCCATCATATAAGAGCAAAATTCTTTCAAGATCAAAGAGTCCAATCTAAAAAAAAAAAGCTATTGTTTTAAAAAAATAGGAAAGTCAGTTAAATATGAACCTCCTCTATATCTGGCCCCCTTGTGTTTAAAGATTTTTTTTTTTAAGTAAAAAGACACAACTTGTAGTTCAGCTGATTTTTTCATACTTATTAATAGTTTATCTCCCCCCTCCCTTAATTTAAAAAGTTCAAAGTTAGATTTCTCTGCCTTGGGGGGGTTGAGGTATATTTGCTTCTCTTTTAGATCCTGACCATCTGTTTTTGGAAAATTAGCCTCTGGGAAGAGGGGGAAAGGAGTTTTTACTCAAACTTAATAGAGTGCTTTAATTTTTTTTTTAATAGTCACCCAAGTATGTTAAAGTTCTATTTTTCCTGCTTTTGGGGAGAATATCAGTCTAGCATGTGAGAGGATATCAATGTTTTCCTCCTGTTCTGCTCTTCTTCTCTGTTCAGGTATTTTTTCAAAAGACTTGTGACTTGTGTGGTGGCGTGTGCATTGAATTAAGAAAGTAAGGCCGAAAAAAATAATCTTGGATTTTTGACTCTCTGAAAAATTGTGAACCTACTCTGGCTCAGATATTTATCACGCTGACAGATATGATACAAAGCGATTGCATTTCCTAATGACCCTCCGGGACTAAGTTGTAGGTAAAACCATTTAATGCATTTTTAATATTAAAGTAAGGCCCAGGTTCCATTTTCTTGGAGGTAGGGGGAGTGGATGTCCCTCCACAGAGGTGGTGCCTTCTGAGTATACTGCTCTGCTCTGCTTTTTCAACTAGAGCACCCCCCAACCCTTCACATTTCCATTTACTTTGGGGAGGGATGAGCCACACACAGGGCATTTGGCTTTCATAAATAAATTTATATCTGGCCAGAAGGTCCAATGCTAAATAAGAGCACACTTTAAACACACACACACACACAACTCAGACTCCACCCTTGCTATAGGAAATAAAACAGAAGCAATACTTGACTTTTTTTTTTTTTCTTTCCCTTCTACAGTCTTGGTTCTCTTTCATATTATTTTATTTTGGAGGGAATGGAGTGGTGGTTGCTTCTCACCTCAGAGGAGAGAGGAGCCATTATTATTTCCCATTATTTCCCTCTTCGCTATATTTAAAAAATGTGTTTGATTTGGATTGCAAACAGAGCAGAGGCTTCCGAGCAGAAAAGAGCACTGTGGCTTTAAACTCAGGAGTTTGCATATTCTCCTTGTATCTTTCCCCTTTGCTAATTATTGTGTTGTTTTCAGAGCAAATATGTCATATCCATGGCGACCGGGCAGGTTTATTGTCTTTCTGAAGCAATAGCTCACATAAGTAATTAATGACTTTCTTTTTTTTCCTCTGGCTTAGGTTAAACAGATCATTCAAGGAAAGTCATCTCTCTCTCCTCTCTCTCTCTCCCTCTCCCTCTCTGTCTCTCTCCCTCTCTCTTTTTTTTTTTAGCCCAGTGACATAAGAACATGAGTTAGAACAAGAAAATACTTTAACCAAGA